CAAACACTTCACTTAAATATGTTTCGCAGGGGGGCGGAGGGGTGGTTGAGTAACATGTTGCTTCAATGCCTTAAAATTAGCTTGTGCCCTGTTTGACCATGAAAAATCTATATACCTTGAGGAGTATGGTTAACGGTACTGATATTTAGTTGAAATTTTTGTTAAACCTTCTATAGAAGATGGACATTTTATGAAATTTGAGCACCTAATTGAAAGATTGTTGGTTGGGTCCATCTCAATGCTAACTGTTGAAATATATATCACAAAAATCACATCTTCGACTTGAAAAAGATGACAGAATGATTGTACAACTTTTTTATTTGAAAAATTCCTAAAACTTATTAAAGATATTACAGATGATCCTGCATAAAACGTTTTTACACCAAAATATCATTAAATTAAAAAACAATGCATTTCTTGTTGAATGCTCATAATACTTGGTTCATCAGCCACTTAAAGTATTCCAGGCAGTGGAAATGCTAAAAGGCATGACTAGTCACCTGTACAATCCATCTCAAGTCCTTAAAGCTGTGATAATAAAAGAGCCTAAACAACAATAGGAAAATCTATATACCTTGAGGAGCATGGTTAACAGTATTGATATTGAGTTGAAATTTTTGTTAAACCTTCTATAAAAGATGGTCATTTTATGAAATTTGAGCACCTAATTGAAAGATTGTTGGTTGGGTCCATCTCAATGCTAACTGTTGAAATATATCTCACAAAAATCACATCTTCAATATGAAAAAAGTGACAGAATGATTGTACAACTTTTTTATTTGAAAAAATCCTAAAACTTATTAAAAATATTACAAATGATCCTCCATACATTTTTACACCAAAATATTATTAAATTAAAAAACCATGCATTTCTTGTTGAATGCTCATAATACTTGGTTCATCAGCCACTTAAAGTATTCCAGGCAGTGGAAATGCTAAAAGGCATGACTAGTCACCTGTACAATCCATCTCAAGTCCTTAAAGCTGTGATAATAAAAGAGCCTAAACAACAATAGGAAAACAATTAGTATTATTTAAAAAAGAAGATTACAAAAACTATGCATGTATGCACCTATGATGTACAAAAATGAGAGTTATCACCTATAAGTATCGTAGAGAGTTCTTTATCATCATTTATATGCATCAAAATAAAAGAGCTATCAAGGGCACACTTAGAATAAAAATGAGTGGCTCTGTTACATTTGCACGAAATATGAAAAAATAAGACTTCCTTGAATCTCAAAAGAAAAGCTAGATCTAGATCTTCTTGGTGTTGCCATGTATCCTTCTTTAAGGTGGATGCATTGTCACCTTCAATGATAATGCCACCAACCTCAAACATCTATGGTGCACATATTTTGCTGAGTAAATGAATAGCTTCAAGCTTAACGTGGACACTGTCCCAATACAAATACTATTATTGAAAGCAAATCAGTGATTACAACCAAATACACTTTAAAGAAAACTACGACATACACATGCAAACTCAACCGTGACATATAAAGAATTTCTTGGCTTAGACTATAGTAGGCGTGCCACTCTTATCAGTCTTCTAACTCTGAGTGGCTTTATTATAAACTTCTCAACTTCTTTAGGCCTGTTCCCACTGATGTCTCCAACAGTGGGTGCATGTTTGAATGGCGGTGGATCCTTGCTATGCTTCTTGTGTCTCTCTATCTTCTATACTAGTAAGGTTGTATCTCAAACATGGTTTCGATGGCGAGCTGCAAGCCTGTCAAGTACCTAGCTACCACATGCTCCTCTGTCTTCGTTAGATTACATTTCAATTTAAGTTGCATAAACTCTGTTGTATACTCCTACACTGATAGGTCCCTCTGCTGTAGGTAGTGGAGACTTAAGTTCTTGACGGTAATGTGGGGGTAGGTATCGTCGCTTCAAATCTCTTTTCATCTTTTCCCAAGTAGTAATCTTGTTTGGTCTTTCTCTATTTCTCTCCATCTTTAGGTTCTCCCACCACAATGAGCCGCTCTGCTTTAGTTTGATTGCAGCTAGTTTCACTTTCAAGGGGAGAATGAATCCGAATGATTTCATAGATGGTTGCAGTCGGAGCACCGATCACCCTTGGATATAACCTAGAAGGGGGAAAACTTGGACGCAGTTGCTATCCTGACAGAAAATGCGAAATAAAAAATGGCCTAAAATATGAAAACAACATATATATATATATATATATGTGAAAAGCCGCTCCTAATGGGTGGCAACCCTAGTTCATTAGGGCCGACCGCCCCTCTTTCCTTCCCAGCTAAACCAGTTCAATCACCCCAGGCTAGTTCAGGCACGGAAAAAGCCCCGCATCAATTTGTCTTCCATTTATCGTTGAGTTCATCCTAATTTGATGGTGGCCACTACATAGATCAATCTTGGAGAAAATGGTTCGTCCATGGTACTAATCTAGCAAGTTTTCTAGTTGTGGAATGAGAAACTGACATTTGATGGTGTTCTTTTTCGTAGCTTTACTATCAATGCACATGATGACACAATCAAAGGTGCAACACATGTGTTGGTACTCTCACTAATCACTTTTTACAATCTAATCCCTTACGGGCTCTTACAACTCTTAATTAATTGGTTGCATTTAATAAGCAAATCCATTGGGAAGCTTCTAGGATAAGATCTATAACATGTGATCTCTCATGGTGGGGGTGACCCGAGTGCTAGACTGAAATTCAAAACATCATGAAATTCTTTCAATATGGGCTTTAATGTATTAGGTTTTTGCTTAGTTTTGCTTCTAGCTTCAATAATGCCAATCTCACTTGTGCCTGTTATGACTTGCAAAAAATAGTAAAGGATACTATAGTTGCAATATTTTCTTGATCGCTCATCACATCAAGCTTTTTTCAAGGTAGAAGTACAATGCATTTTTCATCATTGGTGAACCAGTGGCTGTTATTGTGGCCATCAATGTGTGTTCCTATTATATTGTGAAGGCTTGATAAGCATACACAGACATAACTCCACACTACACATGCTCTTGAATTTTGTCTCTAATAGGAAACTCTTACCTGATACCTCATATCAACACTATCTCATTTATTTTTTTGTTTGAAAACAAGGTCAAACTTTATGAGTAGGAGTGTTTCTAGGCTTGAGGCTCAATTTAACCAACATTTGGGTAAATACAGTAATTTCACAACTACACCCATTAATGATGAGGCTGCAAACCTTCCCCTTCACTTTACAATTGGCATGAAAGATAATGTGCTAGAGGCACTGCTGGTCTCTTTTGTGCTCAATTTGGAGATTCTGCCGAAGCAGAAGTCTCTGTACAACATGGATTGAGAGTCATTCACAGTCTTTTTATCTTCCTCTGTTTGCCTTTTTAATTGCTCCTTGCTTGATGGAAGAAATAGTTCTTATGTTTGGACAATTTGGTGATATACCATAGTCATGACACTTGAAATATTTTTGTTGAAATAGTCTTTCATAGTTTAGATCTGATCATTGTTTTCCTTTGTTTGTGCTAATTTATCCTCCAATGGGATATATTTTGTTCTTTTAAAGGTGTGCCCTTGTGGGTTGGCCTTGATATTGCTGTACTTTTTCTCCATCTTCGGGCTAAAGTTTGCACATCGAACAATAATCAATATGGCTATGACAATAAATGGCCTCAAACCTCTAAGGTACCATACCACTATATTCTTCCCTAGTTCCCTTACCCTTATTTTAATATGCGTTGTACAAATTTAGCAATGTACTCAACAGATGTGTCCTTTGTTGTAGATTGTGAAGCTTTAAAAGGTCATTTTATCGTTAAGATGTTGGAAGATACTTGCACTGTATATTTCTCTTCTTCGTAGACCTATAGTGATCTTGCTTTTTCCTTATCATTGATGCATGCACTTCAGATTCTCTCACCATTCAGAAAAACACTTCTTGAATTTGATAGTCGTGAACTTGGCTCTGCTATCTCATGAAATTTTTTTATATTTAAATACATGTTCCACTATTTAGAACCATTCAATAAACTCATTTGTATTCATACGAATATCAAAAATTGGCAACTTAATCTTTACCACAAAGTCATATTTTGTGATAATCTAGGCAAAATGCTAATTCCAATCCTAAACCAAGCAAAATCCGGATGCCACCGCATAATCTTTATCCTAAAGTCATAGTTTGTGATAATCTAGGCAAAATCCTAATTCCAATCCTAAACCAAGCAAAATCCGGATGGCAACGCAATGGATCTATTGGAGGATTGTGACTAGAGTTTCATATTTTGTGATAATCTTGGCAAACGAGTTTTCTATTACTTGATCTTGTTTTGTAAGAGTCAGGTTGGGTTTTGGTGGAAAATGTATCACTAGGCTGCCTTACTCCGCGCCGTCTCATGTTTAATCGTGAAGACTCAAAATGGGGTGTGAATTGTGATGACTAGGGGAGGAGAGGAAAGAGGATGAGACAGGCATCCATTCTTTCTAAAGCCTTGAGAATGTGTTTTATGAATTTCAAATGTATTTTAATTTTTTGAACGTCTTCGAAATGCATATCATTTTTATTTAAAGATTATATGGACACGGTAATCTTGTTTTTACCTTGCAAGCCTGACTTTTTTATGTAGAGCAGGGATTGTTTTTTAAAACAAGTATGAGTCTTTTATTGTAGTGTTGTCCTGTCTTTACTACGAAAACAAAAGCTTATGCTGGACACGCTTATTTTTTTAGGTTGCATGGACCATGCCTAAGTTGAGTTTTCGATTTTATGCACTGGTTTTATGCTTGTATGTATCATGGCTCTTTACATGAATGTCTCTATTTGTTCTTTTGTCTATGGTAATTGTCTTACCTTGGGAATCACCAACCATTTTTTTGAGATTTAAAATATTTACATTTTATTCCTTCTCTTAACTATTTTTTGAATTATGTTTTTAATTGTTGTTTTTCCTGAAAGAGTACTGAACTAAACCATTTCTCTGAGGCTATTACAATTTTTTGTTCCTTATCAGAACAGTAGTGACACAGCGTTTGTTTAAACAGGTTATTGCGTCATACTTTCCCACATTCCAGTGCCTTGAGGGCTTGAAATTGTTGGCTAAGTCAGTATTTGGCGTGACACTCAGCCGCATGTCATTTTCCTTTGGTGAGTCCTGGCATCCTGATGTCATGAAATTCTTACTCCATCATCCTCAAGAGGTATATGATCCTTTTATTTTTCACAATTGAATCCTTTTCAGTCTAGCATCTATTTTGAATATTGCTACAAAATTAATGGGTTATATGCATAGTAACTAGAAAAAAATGAATTTCCTTTTTATGCAACTATTTTACTGCTGGGAGAGTTGTTACCAATTGTCCATGTTTTTTTTCCTCTTTATGTGAATTCAAGGTATTGTCTTAAATTAATGTTGTTCATAACATATTCAGAAGGTATAAAGTAAGTTTTAATTTGAACTGAAATAGATTCAGCTCCTTTTTTGGATTGATTTCAATACGCAATGCTTCAAAACTTCCTTTAAATCTGAGGTTTACAATATGTAACCCCAAAGTTATGATTTTAAAATTTTTTATGCGGAAACACTTCCTACCAAAAGAAATTAACGTCCCGATCACTAGGGTCATCAAGCTGGGCAAGATGATGACTAGGGTCTTCAAGCTGGGCCGGATGCTGCACTTCTCATGGTTACAACCAGATTTTGCTCCCAGGAGGCTGTTAGGAGTGCGGGAAGTGCGTTGTACTTTTTGTTAGACAAATAAAGAAGGTAATCTAGTGATGAATGTAACATTTAAAGCTATTATTATTTAATTCAAATAATTATAAAAATTTCGTTTTATACAATAATTTTAAAAAATTAGTGATTTTTTTCTTATTGTCTGAGGCTAATATTTTGTTATAATACTAATTTAGTTTTGAAGCATAAAATTGATTAAAAAGTCATATAAATTTTAAATAATGTAATATTTTTATTTAAGTTAAATAAATTTAATTTGTAAATATATTTCAAATTAATGTTAATTATTAAGCACGATTGAACACAAACAAAAAATTTTCTTCTTTTACAGCTCTATCCAATGTATGTGATTATTCAATTTATAAAAATATTTTTATTTAGAATTTAATGATGTGAAGTGCCTAATAGATGCTAATATCATCGTTTGGCCTTAACCTTTTAACTCAATATAGGTGATTATTAAATTTATAAAAATTTCTTTATTTATAATTTATTGAGGTGAAGTGCTTGATAGATTTCAACACTATCGTTTGGCCATAATCTTTTTACTCAGTATAGGTGATTATTTATTTGTGATTTTTTTTTGAAGTTGATTGTTAATAATTTACAAAACTATTTTATAATCTTGCATGACGGTAGCCGCATAATATAATCAAATCACAACAAAAATTTGAATTTTTTTTACGATGAATATAATATATGAAGTATCAATTCACTTTTTTTTAATTTAAATTTTTATATAGTACCCTTATTTTAAATTACAACAAAAATATCACCAATATTATTTTAATTAATATGAAATAAATTTTATCTTGTCTATATGATGTGGGCCGCGCTAAAAGCGCCTCATACGTGGGGTGTTAAAAGCGCTCCTAACGCAGGGCGCTAAAAGAACCGCTAGCCGTCTGAACCGGCTGGAAACCTTGGTCGTGAAGCATGGACCGGGCTTGGCAGTATGTTCGCGGGATCTAGAGAGTGGGGCTTCGAGAGCTCTGTAGAGGGGGCGGGACTACCGCTCCTTGTGTTCATCCCTGTTTGAAAAGCCTTTAATGGCTATTCTCTAGAGTATTTCCACCCTTTCTTTTGTATGGGAGTTTCCTTTCCTATTTCTTTTCTTTTCTCCTCCAATAAGGGTCTATATATTGCTACTTTCAAAGAATTAGGGCAATAGTTTGCAAATTTCAGTCCTGTGTGGTATGTTCTCTCTCCGTTCTAGGGTTGTATCTGAGGAGGTGGTGCTGCTCTGATTGTATCCTACTTCAAAGTGGTGTTGTATCTTTCCTTTTACCCTTAGCTAACCCTTCTCCCCTCTACTCCGCCTTTGGCCTCCCCATACTTTATCGTGACACCTAGCTGCCCTTCCCTACCGCCTACTCTTTCTGTCCATTCACTCGAACTGCAACCTAACACCCTGCCGCCCCTTCCCCGCACCCTACCCTCGTTGTCCAGTCACCCGAGCTACACCCTAACACCCTGCCGCCCCTTTTTAGTAGCCTATCCTTATTGTCCAACCCTCCAACTAGCACTCCAATCCACCTACTGGACCCATACCCACACTACATTGCCGACTTAACCCAGTTCTTGAATCTCCTCTTTCGGGCCGTAGCAGGAGATTGGTCTATCGCTGTTTTTCTCTTTTCATTGTGTAGTGTTGTAACCCTATTTCAGTATCAATAAAAGTTTGTTTTTTTGTTATGATAATCCCGACTAGTGTTGGCATCACTATATTTTAATGTAATTTATTATAGAATATTATATAATTAAATATGAGTATATATATGTTAAATATGCATATTTATAAAAATTATATTACATATAACTTCTAAACAAGAAAATAATACTTCTGTATTTATTTTATATACAATCCAACAATTCTAAGTATTTTGAATGTACTGTTCTTACTTTACTCTGCATACATCTACCCAAACGTAAAAAAATTACCTGAAATGTAGTTTACAGAAAACCAAACAGTCAGAATACACTACAATCAAAATACACTTCATTCCTTTATGTTTCCTTTTTAGACAATCAAATAACCTTCACACACACACACACCGGAAATTTTGAATAAGCACCTAACATCGCTTTTAGGCTCAGCCCGATAAAATATATGCTCTAGCAAATTCATGATTTGTGTGGCAAACATCACCCAGTCCTTGCACAATCAATTCTCTAATAAAATATTCTTGTAAAGATCAAGGAATATAACATTACCTACCTGTAAATAGAAGTCTATCATGAATAAAGAAATTAGTAAGAAATTCTTTGTTGTTGCATTGTGCCCATATGCCAGCCAATTCTTCATCATTAGCATAAATTTCTTTTAATTATTCAAAGCCCACCATTCGTGTGCTAATGGCAACTAGCACGCAACCTAAATATGTGATCTGCTTTATTTGATTAGTTTGACTTATGTTTAATGGCAACTAGCACGCACCCTAAATATGTCATCTGCTTTATTTGATTAGTTTGACTTATGACAAAGGTGAATTTTTGCAAGAAGGTTATCCATCATGTATGCGTTTGATTCATTTTCTTCTTAGAATTGATAAACTTCAAAGTTTGTTGATTTATGAACACATAGTCTCATTGAATTAAATAGCACTCCCAATGTTTCAATGCATGAGTATACTATAAAAAAAACAAGCTCATGAATGGTCCTCTTTTGTTGAGCTTTACCATCCTTTTGGTGAAGAAATCCACAATTTGACCTTCTAAGGAAAATATATCCCCAATCTTTTGAACCAACGAATCACACTCAACCATAAATACTTCCTCAAAGTTAGGCAATGTCAGCACAGGAGCAATACATTACTTTTTCTTAATTGCTTGGAAGTTATTATTTTGAGCCTGTTCCCTTCCCACATGAGTTTTACCATTTCTAGGCTACCTGTAATAGGCGTCGTTATTGTGCTAAACCCATAAATGAAACATACCCATTTAAACTTTGTACTTCTTGAATGTTTATAGGAGTTCGTTCATCTCAGATCTCTCCATTTTTTTGTTTGATTTACTTGAAATTGCAATCTTTCCAATTAGAGTTCTAAGAATTTAAATAATATTTAATTAATAAATTATTTCTCTTATTATTAAATGCAAAACTAAGAGAACTTCTCATTGATGTTTTTAATGTTCTTTCTTATTCTTGTTGGTAATATAAGTTTATCATTAAAATTTACCAGCACAAAATTTCCGAAAAATGAAAGTGCATGGCTCATTAATCACATGGACCTACTTGGGTGTGATGAAAAACTATATGAAAAGTTTGTTAGTCTTGAAGGCAGTTTTCCAATCATCACATCGTCAAATACTAAATTTGTGGTAGGCACTGCATAAGTTAAGCTTACTGAACATCACATCACTTACCAAACTGGAATGTCGAGTCACTGAATTGGGAACTCGTAATTGATGGTGATCCCATTGATAGCATATTTGTTGCGCTCATTTTCTAACTTTCATCTCTATTTAGATTGTGTAAACCGAGTACTGTTTATGTACACTCATGTTTTGTCAAATCTAACTTTTATCCTATAATTTATTAAACTATCATTTTAGCTCTTTATACTAGATCACATTTGGTAATTGGCAAAATAAGAACAGTAACCCAAGTCACCAAGTCAAATTTGCGCCAAGTATGTTGCATTGGTGGAAAGCTCATTCTGTAGCTCTGTAGGTAATAAATTTGAGAATTCTTTAAGCAATTTCTTAACTTTTTTAAAAATTGCAAATTCATTGGTCGTAGCTAATTCGGTAACTTTGTAGGTGATAAATTTATGAATTCTTTGAACAATTTCTTTTCCCTTTTAAAGAATTGCAAGCGATCTACAGTTGAACCTTTGATATGTAAGGTCGTTAGAAAATTTGTCCTTTTTATCCGGAAAAACTGGTTTATGGAACAATTGTGAAGAGTTCCATTTCCATGTTGGCAATACCTTTAGAAACAGTTTGTTGTAGTAGAATAATTTTTATACTATTCCCACCAATGCCAAATTGTTATCCTGACCTTTATAAGCACAATCAACAGCAGAAGAAACAAGCGTCTACTCTAGCAGAAGTAGTAGTAGTGGGGATGGTGCCGACAATTAAAGCAGCATGAGGCGATGTTGAAAAGCCCAATTAGAGAGGGGAGATCTTGCATGTGAGCGTAGAGGTTTCGCTTTGTATTTAAACACTATACTATAGAGAAAAAACCTAAAGTGCATGAGGCAGACGCCTCAACCGAATTGAGGTGAGGCGCGTCTCAATCACTGTGAGGCGTACGCCTCACCGAAGGTGCTCGAGGCATATGCATGGATGTATTTTTTTTTCATAATTACGCTGAGATACACCCCATATTGTGCAATTTTAAATAGTGATTGCACTTGCTAATTCATCTCTTCTTAATTTAATTTCTATCTTCTAGTCCAACTTGAGGACTATAATTGTTGAACACATCTATAATTTTTTCATTGATAATTATTTAAT